AAAAAAAAAAAAAAAACCCCCAAAAAAAAAAAAAAAAAAAAAAAAAAAAACCCTCACATTAACCTTACATATAAGTATATATACCTGCTTATCAGTCACAAACATAAACAGCTATTACCATGGGCTAACTATGGGGTATCTTAGTCAGTATTAACCTTACAATTTAATAGCAATTGGTATCATTAAAAGACTTTGAAATGACTTTTCTTTTGGTGCCTAAAATTAATTAATCATAGAAGTATCATTTAGAACATTTGTAAGATTTATTACAATGTTTAATTTATGATCTCTGAAAAGTTTTGTTATTCTTGTCCTTCCAAGCCCGTCTAGCCTTTTCCGAGTTTGAGTAAAAGAATTTAATATGTCTAGAACCCAAAAAAATTAAAACTTGTTGCCAACTTCCAGATACTTACTTGTCTTCCTTCCCAAGCTCAATATTAGAGTCTCCTGGGATCTGGAATGTTTAGATGATGATGTGCTGTGTAACACTGCTTACTGAAGAGCTATAAGACACTCACCTGGAGGCATGTGTCTACAAGCCCCAGGGTATTTATGGAGCCAGATGTCTCCTGAAATGTAAATGTGATGTCAATCTAAACCAACATTCGTAACTTTGAAAGTAACTCATGCATGCAAACATCAACTTTAGGTAGAGCTTAGGTAAACTGAACTAATGACATCTGGATGAATATAGAACTTTTCTAGAACAGTTGTCACACCACACAGCACCTATGTGGGTTCAGTTTAAGGGCAGGACCTAGAGATGACACACAAGGCTCAACTAAACACATTCTCTTAAGATTTGGTTACACGTTTTTCTAGGGCATTCTGTCTGAACACCCTAGAAACATGTAACCAAATCTTGATTCTCTTGAAATGCAAATTGAAAACCACCAGTATTTAGAATGCACAGCAATAATGATTCACCTTCATCCCAGCTCCAGCTGCAGCAACTGCATCCCTCTATTTGCAGAGAAGAGGCACGACTAAGCGTAGAGATCATCCCTATCCTTAGTAGTTCCTCCTTCAGGGAAAAAAATAAAACTTTCCTCTGCTTTCTCCTACCTGTTCCAACCTCTTATCAAAGTTATGTCAGCTTTGGTTATAAAAGCATCTGGGGGTAAGCTTCAAAATATTATATGTGAATAAAATATTAAGCAACTGTGTAATAAAACAATTTTAGCTTGAATAAAGAATTAGATTTTCTTATGTACCACCTGCAAATTTGTCCATCTGTTCATAGAGTGCTATGTCTATAAAGAATTTGAAATCTAAAATCTACAGATGTCAGAGCCGAAAGGAATCTGCGAGATGCCTGGCTCCTTACACCTGCACATCACAGACATGAAAGTGAGGTTCAAATGAGCTCACTAGCATGATCAGGGTCTCACAGCTGGATCATAGAAGATACATGGCTTGTACTAGCTGCTTAGTCCCAGTGCACTTAGCATTACACCTTTTCTCTGACACTTGAAAACTGACCAAACAAAGGAAATGAAAACATACTTTTAAAAGGTTAAGATTAAGGAGGAGAAAAGAGCTGGTATGGAAGGATCAAGAATAACAAAATCAAATCTAGAAGGAACTGCACCTTCTAGATTATGCTAATTACGTTTTTAAAAAATGAGTCCTCTTAGACCTTATTGTCGGATTATTCTCATATGTGTGGGGGAACAACAACAACAAAAAAGATTTCTAACACAGTGTGTCTCCAGATGACTGAAACCCAGTGCCCTCCTGATAAATGCCAGTCCTGCCCTGCATAGTTCTCTGTGCTTCAAATGTTTTTCATTCGCTCTCGTTCCACTTGTATTTTCTGGATTACTCCTTCCCCACTGGCCCTTTTCCACAGTTTACAAACTGTTCAAATCTACCTTCATTGAAGCTGCCACTTCTCCGAGATTCTGCTTCCCTTTCCTTTCATTCATTCTACAAATATTTATTGAACACCAGCAATATACCAAACATTCACCAACCAAGCTCCTTGAAGAACTCTGTATTAACTGCTCCTTCCTTCTCATCAGTCCAGCTCTCTGTAAACTGCCAAACTGCTAAAGACAATTGATTCTCAACCCTTTTACAGCATTTACAAGGTTGACTACTTCCTCAAATTCTCTCTTCTGTCAGCTTTCAAAACACCTCCTACTCCTGATTCTTCTTTCTCAGTGACCCTTTTTCGTTGGCTTCTCTTCCTTCATCTGCCTCTTAAGAGTTGGTATTCCCCTAAAGTTGTACCATGGCTCTCTTCTTTTCTCACTCAACATGTTCTATGCACATTCATTCTTTAAGGCCTCTGGTAATGTGACCCAGAGAATGTCACATTCAGAGTTAGCCAGTCATTCCTTGGAGAGGGCACACAAGAAGCAAGGAGGTAACAAGCAGTGATTATTTTAATGTTCTCCTCCTACTCTACAGGGTCATCCCCCTCCCTATAGAAATATAAAGCGGGGAAATAAACACAGATCTACCAATCCACACCAGTATGTTTTCCTTTTATTGGTGTGGGTGTGCCCCGTGAGGAGGCGACCATCACTGTGTCAAGACAGGCCAACACTACTTCCACGAGTCCACTCCCCTGAGACCTTCCACTATACTTTCTGTGTCATCCTGGCACCTGTAGATAATCAAATGGTAGGGTAGGATATTCATCACTGTAGCTTCAAATTAAGTTTCTCCCAAGGCTGAAATTCATTCCCTGTTCTACTTACCACCTCCACTCATAGCCAGATAATTTGTCAGAGGAGGTTGTACAGTGAGCACCACACAAAAACAAACAAAAAAAAAAAACACCAAGTGAATGGCAGCAATAGAAAATACCTAAGATGAGCAACCTGAACTTCTTTCCAATTATTTCCATAAAGAAAGTAAGTTCTAAAGAAATTGGAACTTCAAATCTTCCCTCCTTCAATGTCTCATTCTGCCCAGTCTCAGCCTGAGTTGTGTCATAGTCTAGACCCACACTGCTCCTACCAATCATGGACGATAGTAAAGTCGTAGTGGCATGTGGGTGGATAAAACATACAATGAAAAGAATCTTGACTTCAGGTTTATCAGGAGGCAAATCTTAAACTTCTTTGGAGAAATCTCCATTAAGGGTTAGTTGTGCTTCCATAGGAGCTGAATCTGCCTATGCACACAGCTACTCCAGCGCCAACTCCCAGTACCTAGAGCTGACACGCAAAAGCCAAGGCATCACACATGTCTGTGTCCACAGGGAATTAGCTGAGTTGCAGCAGCAGCAGTTGTTCTTATATATTATTATTTTACTAGGTCGGGGCAGTTTAAAACTTAACAGCCTTGGACCCAGGCCAAAATGTTATAAAGGAAAAAAACAAGTGGTGTTGACAGAATTATTCTACTTGATAACTAAAAAGCATGGAATGCAAAAGTAGGGAGGCCCTGCCCTCCTAGCCAAAATTGCACATACCTTCCCTGCCGCAGCTCATGAAGCTGTTAACTGCATGCACTTCCCTATTACAGGCCTTTCTGGTGGTTTTACCTCCTGCCAGGAAAAAGAGAAGAACGCTGGCTCCTCTTAATTATATAGGAAGCAGGTGGCATTGTTGTACATGTATGGCTCAGTTAACTCCACTTGTGGCACAATAAATACAAAATTCTGATCATTCAGATCATCTATGCTGACTTCCTCGAATAGGAATACAGGAGTAGAGAGAAAGGCTCAAAGTGTTCATGACAAAACTCCCTGTCTTCTGGGCTTCTTCCCTGTGGGTTTCTTCTAGAGCAGCACTCTCCAGTAATGCAAATGTATATGCAGTTCTGTTTCCTGATGACCACATTTAAAACGAAAAAAGGCATTTAAATAATTAATTTAACCCAGTATATCCAAAATATCATTTCTATATGTAATCTGTAGCAATTATTAAGATATTTTTACATTTTATTTTTTATACTAAGTCTTAGAAATCAATTGTGTATCTTATATTTACAGCACATCTTGATTTGGATGAGCCACATTTTAAGTGCTCAATAGTATGTTGGCTGGCTGTTGTACTGGACAGCACAGGTCTAGAGAGTCGTGACGCGCAAAAGGACAGTTCTCCTGGTTCTCCCTGCATGTTAACCTCTCTAGCATCTCTCCAATGTACCCACTTTCCACCTCCACTGCTCTAATTCAAAACTTGATCATTTCCCACCCAGATGCTTCAAACCACTTCCTATCTAGTGTCCCTCATCTCGCTAATGTTTTGTACACACTGCTGCCACTTAACTGCCTCATTTCATTCTTCTGCACCTTCACTGGATCACATTTCCTACAAAAGCCCAAACTCATTATTATGATAATTTGTCCCTTTTAGAAGCCTGTGATAATTTACATGCCAGCCATAATTGTATCTCTGGTACATGGTACATGTATTCCAGCATAGAATACTCTCTAGCCCTACCCCTATCTTTTAAGGCTCAGGAGACAGTTAACTACCATTGTGAAGCCTTTCCCATAACACTCTGCTTAAGTTTCATTTTTGCCACTTAAAATTGTATGTCTTGGGTTTTGGGGTTTCAGGGTCCATGCCTCTTTCCACTCTAGATATTAGGCACTTTCCCATCATCCTCCATAGCCTCAGACATAATGGACATTCAATAATGTTTGCTGAAATTGAAATAGACAAAACTGAGCCATTTTCAAATTATGTGTTATATAACCAGGTGCTGTTATATTTTGTGTTTTGTTTTTTGTTTTTTTTTTCCCCAGCTCACAATAGTAAAGCAGCGAGAACAGCCAGAAATGGTTTTCCGACAATTCCTGGTAGAAGACAAAGGACTTTATGGAGGCTCTTCTTATGTGGATTTCCTTTGCTGTGTTCACAAGGAGATCTGTCAGCTGCTTAATTAATTGAAGCTTCTCTGTCATTGATGTTGCATTTCTAAGGAGATAATCTCCTTCTTGGTGCCTAATTTTCTAGATGATAATAGGCTAGCTTTGATTTCTTGCTCATTTTCAGAATAGCTTTCCAGGAAAAGATGGCATTTAGAACTTCAGCTTTGGTGCTCAGGTATAAAGCCAATTAAGGTACAATTGTACCATAAAGGGAACAGTCTGTTTCTGATTGCTCAGTTTCTAATTTTTAAAACTGATGTGGTTTGCATTTCATGAAAGGCAAAGTTTACAGAACCATAAACATTCTCAATTTTCTTTCTTTGTGCTAGACATATAAATTATTTTTCAAACTGTATAGACGGGGGTAAAAAGTTGTCTTGGTTCCTCTCCCAATTGCAATGAGAAAAAAAAAGCTTAATTTTTACATTATACCTAATTTTTTAAAAACCATGTAACTCCATTGAACACATTTTTCAACTTAAGGATTGCAGAGCAGACTTTCAATAACCTTGGAATCTATTTGGTAGAACAATTTTTGTTCTACATTTTTTTCATAATTATATATTGGGTATGTTAAAACTATTTTCCAGTTGTTTTGTCTATAAAAGTGTCTTTATTCATATTCTTAATGGTTCTTTGTACAATTTGGAAGTTTCTACCTGTATATAATGGATCTTAACCAATATCAATAAATCATTTCATATACTCTTATTTGGTAGAATTATTGCGAATTTTATGTCTTAAGAAGAAATAAGGGTAGTATTCAAAATGTCTTGGCAAAAGGTTGTTGGGTAGGTCACTAAGAACAAATTGGGAGAACAAAAATTTCTCTTTTCTTTGAGAGTTGAGGAGTACTAGGCAATAAATCTAGGAAACATCATAGTGTACTCGAGAAAGGCATTTCAAAGTTCTCTAATATGTTTTTGTGGGCAAAATAAATAGAAACAGGCTACATGAAACCATTTGTTAATCAATATATCTAAACCTAGGAGAATGGGTTTGAGTGATGTCACATAGGCATCTGCCCCTACTTCCCTGTTCAACTTTGTTATCAATTATATGAATAATAATAGGAGTACATATCATGTCCCAAGAACTGCATGTTTTTTGTGAACACATGCAGATGTATTCTTCACAGCAACCCTGAGCCCCATTTACACATAAAGAAACAGGCTTAAGTACCTTGTTCCTGATTATATGGCTAGTAAGGTTTATTTACAAATTAGATGTCATAAAGTAGAATAGAAAAACAAATACAGTGGCAGGACTAAAATCCCCCCATGTTAGCCAACTGGCATGTTGCTTACAATCAACTTGGATAAGTTTAACAAGAAGAAATGTAAGCTCCTAGACTTGTGTGCAAAAAACAAATGCATATGCAGGAGATCATTCCTGGAAACAACACGTTAGAAAAAGAACTTAGGGAGTTTGCCATTATGAATCAGTAGTGGAATGGAAGCAGATATGATCTCAATCTACTTAATTACAAGGATAGGCTGTCAAATAAGCACAGTGATGGTCCCTCTCTGAGGTCGGACCACAGCTGGGTGAATGTTCAATTCTAGGCCCCATGCCCTAAGTGGAATAGAAGCACAGAGCACATTCCTTTATTCATTTGAAGACTGCCTAATGATTTGTTCTCTGTGTTCTTTAGGGTATAGAACCAGAACCATTAAATAGAAGAGACAAAGGGCCACTTAACAGAAAGAAACTTGTAAATAGATGCTCAAAGAATATGCCATTGGAAGTAGTATGTTCTCATTTAACAAACACTGTTTGCACATGTTCAGTGTGCCAAATACTAGGCACTAAGCTGGGGAGACAACTGTGAGCAGCACAAGCAAAGTCCCTGCCATCTCTACAATTACAGGAAAGTTTCAGAAATGCCATGAAATGCTACAGTAAGCACAGAGCAAGGATATGGTCTAGCTGGGGAGCGAGGTGTAGTCAGTAAAGATTTTCCAGAAGAAGTTACAATGAAGATGAGACCTGAAAAAATTGTAAACATTTGCCAGGTAATTGGCAGTATTGGTAAATATGCCAGCAAAGGTGAAAATAAGCATAAAGGCCCAGAGTGGAAAGAGCATACATCACCCTTTTGTGACCGAATTGCAGATGATGGGCTCAGGTTGCACCCCAACAGGATGTTGGTCCTTGGTCCCTCACTCACCCAATAATGGAGGAGAGGACCCTGCTGAGCACGGTGAGCTTGTTTTAAGTAAATATCGGACCCCAAAGAGTTTTGCAGAAAGTGATTTATTTAGGCAGAGCAAGAGAAAAGGGGGAAAGAAAAGCAGCTCCCGTGATGTCGTGGAAGGGGATCCAGAAACAGAGTCTACACTGATGTGGGAGAAGGGGACTTTTAACATGGGAGATATTCCTGCCCCATTCAAGTTTCCTGTCCTATGAAAGGAGTTCCTTTAAACTTCCACTGTAGTGATTGATCTTTGATTCTGACCTTTGATTTGTTGTTTTGGCCCACAGTCTTCCCGTAGCTTCTTGCAGGCTTTTCTAGACAAAGGGAGCTTACCTGACCAGTCTATCTTTCCCTGCAAGCGAAAGTTAAAGACCTCTAAGCTCCTGGATGGAGGAGTCGGTGGAGGTATGGCACTGGGAAGTTCTTGCCTTTGAAACCATGCCCCCTTGTGGACCCGGGAAGAGAATACAATCCCTCACTTTCAGTAAACTAAAGTTAAACTTGGCTGAAACTACCAAGAAGAGACAAAGTCGTAAAAGATAAAGCTGGAGAAGCAAGTAGAGTGAGACTTAGCCAAGGAGGAGTTTGGACTTAATCCTAATGACAAAGTGAAGACATTCAAAGTAATTTAAGCAGGATCACTTATAGAGCAGGATCACTCTAGAAAGATCTCTTTGGGGTTGTAAGGTGATGTAACTTGCAGCAGAGAGACCATTTAGGAGGCTATCAGAATAGTCCGTTTGAGTTCACAGTGGCTTGAATTAAAATAATGGTATTTAGTTGGGGGTGGGGAATTTGGGGGAGAGCTGATGTAAGGGAGGAGAAAATGTCAGAAAATGATTTGTTTTGAGCAACTGGGTAGACAGTGAGATGATTCTCTGAGAATAAAAACAGCTTGTTTATGTCAGTGTGTATGTAAAAGGTATAGTCACATTGTACAGATTTAAGGTAGCTTGCAAACTATCCAAGTGAGATAAGCTATAGCACCTAAAAATATGGGTGTGAATCTCAGGAGAGAGTTTTGAGCTAAAGATTTGCAAGCCACCTACATGAATATCAAGAAAACGCCACACAAGTGGCTGAAAAAACTTTGGCTCTGTAGAGCGGGAAGGTAGCAAATCCCTGGGGCAGACAGTCACTAGAAACCTTAAAGGAGACTGGGAAGGGCCACAGAGGTTAGGAAGGGAACTTGGTGAGAAGATGTCACAAAGCTCGAGGTAAAAGAGGGGGTACATGAAGAGAGTGGGCAGCCAAGTCACAGGCTTCCAAAAGAAAATATGAAAATGTTTGTTAGGATTAGTAAAAAGGTCATGGGTGACTTTGGTGAAAACAGTTTCTCTACATCAGTCAGGATAAAGGCTAGATTGGAACAGGCTGAAGAAGGGGAAGCAGCATGGAGGCAACTCAAGAGGGGATGAGAGGGTGAGTCACAGGTAGAGGGGAGGATTTTTTAAATTTTAAGGGATTTGCCATTTAAATGCTGGTGGAAAGAAGCCAGTGTTACGTTCAAAAAATATATATAGCGACAATACTATACTACAAAGAATGCTGAAGATTCAAGACAGAGAAAAAATATCCAGAGCAAGACCCTTGGAAAACAGAGGGAATATAATATAAATGGTGAGGTTAGCTTTCATGGTAGAAGAAACCCAATATGTAATGGAAATGCTCTGGTGAGCCCTGAATGACCACCTGCCAAAAAATGGTGTAAGTGCTGCCCTGAAATGGTGCTCCAAACTGGAAGAGGCAGTGAAGCACAATGGTTCAGAGCACAGGCTCCAGAGCCAATGACATGGGTTTCTATACTAGTCCCACCACTAGCTGTGTGATCCAGGGCAAGTTAGAAACTTTCCTGTGACTGTTTCCTCCACAGTTTTTTCAAGAATTAAAGTTTATAAAGGGCCTAGAACAGCATCTGACACACGGTGCTGCTATTTAAGTGTTCATTGCTGTTATTGTTTCATTAGGTTTTTTACTAAACTTGCTAAGGATCATGAAAACTAGGACTAATCTGACTCCTAATTGGATTTGCTGCTATGTCACTAGTATCGTAATTGACATCCTCCAAATCAAGCTTATCTTTAAATGCTATAGAAATTCCAATTAGCAGATGGTTTCAGAGATTAGAATAAATTTGCCATATGAGAAACTTGCAGCTTAAACTACTTTAAATGTCAAAAAACCAATATATAAACCAAAGACAAGAACTTGTATTTCAAATGTTAAGACACCATTATTTAAAAAAAAAAAAAAAAGAGTTCACTCACTGTTTGAAGGCATATCTTTGAGACTACCAAATGGCAACTTTCCTAGAAGGTTCATTTCTAAAAGTTTAACATAATGGGAGTAGACTGAGAATAATTAGGAATCATCTATTAATAATTTTTAAAATGTCCACCCATATAGAAACATATTTCTCTACTCAGAAAGCAATGATAAGCAAAGATCAAATTTTAGATCAATTTTTTGAACATGGAAAGATAATCTGAAGTTGAACTTGAGCTCCACTAGAGGGCATTCTACATTAATCTGTCTAAACCTTCGGAAAGGTTAGTAATCTTCCAGAAAAGGCAATTCTTTAGGTAATTGAATATACAAATTTTAATTGCTGAAAAACACAAGATGTAATGCCAACTAATCTGAATTAAAAGAAAAATAAAAGCAAATTGATTGGAAGAGGCAATAGAAATCCCCTAGTCATCATCTTTAATAGATGTTTCCTAGCCTCTGTTTGAGAAACAGGGAAGAGGGTTGGGCATGGTGGTTCATTCCTGTAATACCAACATTTTGGGAGGCTGAGGCGGGAGGATTGCTTGAGCCCAGCAGTTTGTGACCAGCAGGGGCAACATGGTGAAACCCCTTCTCTACAAAAAATTAGCTGGGCATGGTAGTACATTCCTGTAGCCCCAGATACTTGGGAGGCCAAAGCAGAAGGATCACTCGAACCCAGGAGGTTGAGGCTGCAGTGAGTCCTGATCTTGCTGCTGCACTCCAGCCTGGGCAACAAAGCAAGACTCTGTCTCAAAAAACAAAAAAAAAAGTGATGAGAAGATTACTTTCCCAAACAACCATTTATGAACAGTTCTGTTGGAAAATTGTATTTGGTGGACTTTACCTAAAACTACTCTTTGTGGTACAAGTACTCTCTTGTCTTTTGAGGCCAAAGGTGAATTCCTCTTCCAAAGAATAGCAGTTTTCAGATAGTTCAAAGACATATCTTTATCATATTTCTTGTGCAGGCTAAACTCCTTCAATTTCCAAAATGTACCCTCATAAACATTTCTAGAGCCATTTTTATCCAAACTTAATAAATGAGAATCCAGTGTTGAATCACATGAAGAACAAAGTCAATTTGGGGAGACAAATTGCTAGTATTTCATTAAGGAAACTATAAGAGCGATTACAGATGCAGTCTCAAGAAGATATGAGTTGTGTACAAAATTTTAGGGAATGCTTTTTGATTTTATTTTTACACTTTTTTATTTTTTGAGATGAAGACTCACTATGTCACCCA